TATAAATAGAAGAAATTAATGGTCAACTAATATATATATATATATATATATACATATACATACACACACACACACACAAAAAAAAAAAATTAGCCGAGCATGGTGGCGCATGCCTGTAGTCCCAGCTACTCGGGAGGCTGAGGCAGGAGGATCGCTTGAGCCCAGGAGTTTGAGGTTGCTGTGAGCTAGGCTGACGCCACGGCACTCACTCTAGCCTGGGCAACAAAGTGAGACTCTTGTGTCAAAAAAAAGAAAGACATTTTTTTAAACCCACAGATCACAGCCTGCTCCTGTTTTAGACACATAAAATACTAAGTACATAGAAGATGTAACAACATAATCTTTCTGCCAACAAAAGGTTATTGAATGTCTTTTCTAAAAGACATTTTAAAATAACTTATCACAGGAGATGAGGTTAATATGCAATCTCAGAAGAGTCATGAGAAGTATATGATTAAGTTCCTCATAGACTTTGAGGAAATGTCCCAAAAGTACAATGATTACACTTGATTCCTCTGTGTGCTTATTCTCTTCTGTATCCCCAAACTTGGTACAAAGATGCTCAATAATGGTTACATGAATGAACAAGTGGCACCTTTCTGGACCTTATTTTAGAATGTAGTGGATGTCAAAGTCTTAAACCAAGAGTATGGAATGCAATAAATGTTCAACAAATGTTTCTTTTAGTTTACTGTTCATTAACTCAGTCTTTATTTTGTAAGTGAATTATATCTGATATTCTTCCTAGTCAGTGGAACTAATACTCCAATTATTGTAAGGACTGAATGATGGGAAAGAAAAAACTAAAATGAGCTAGGCCTTATTACTCTGTTAGAGAACACTCAATTTTTATCTCACTTATTAGAGACTATATTGTAACTGGTACAAACACCTAACTGAATCTTCTTGTCATTTCTCTCCTTTTTTTAGAAGCTAGATTATATCACATACCTGTCCATCTTCGGATCAGTTATTTGACTCCTAAAGAAAATGGAAAGCTTCCATGCATACCAAGAAATAACCTCAGTACTTTTGTCCATGAGTCCTGCAATGAACAGAGCATTTGCTTTCATCAAGATGGTATTTCTCATGTGCTTATAATTTTTAACACAACCATGGAATACATGTCGCCAGATATAAGCACTGGGCAAAAGAACCCTTGAGTAATACAGCTTGTTTCTTTTTTCAGAGACACCGAGAGGAACAAAGACATTGCTTTTCTAGAAGCCCAGATCTATGAATATGTAGAGATTCTTGGGGTGAGTAACTGACTCTGCTGAGGACTTTAAATGCTATAAAGAATGGGAGTAAGCAATAGGAACTCAGAGAGTATTTTTTTCAGGTTCAGAAGAGGAAGGGATAGGTGTTAAACTAGTTCAGTACAAAATAGAGGTCTTTCAGGGTACTTGGCCCTTTGGTAAGTTCCTGTTCTGTTGTTAGGTGATATTCCCAAGGTTGCCCAATTTCCATAAGGCCAGGCATAGAAAACAAAGTCCCCTCTCAATACAGCATCCAGAGTAGTGCCTGTTCTTTGCCTGAGCTTCAGAATATACCCAGGAGTGGCTCAAGCACCAAACACTCAAAAGGAAAAAAAAAAAAAGTGACGCCACGGCACTCACTCTAGCCTGGGCAACAAAGTGAGACTCTTGTGTCAAAAAAAAGAAAGACATTTTTTTAAACCCACAGATCACAGCCTGCTCCTGTTTTAGACACATAAAATACTAAGTACATAGAAGATGTAACAACATAATCTTTCTGCCAACAAAAGGTTATTGAATGTCTTTTCTAAAAGACATTTTAAAATAACTTATCACAGGAGATGAGGTTAATATGACAATCTCAGAAGAGTCATGAGAAGTATATGATTAAGTTCCTCATAGACTTGTGAGGAAATGTCCCAAAAGTACAATGATTACACTTGAAATTCCTTGTCTGTCTTATTCTCTTCTGTATCCCCAAACTTGGTACAAAGATGCTCAATAAATGGTTACATGAATGAACAAGTGGCACCTTTCTGGACCTTATTTTAGAATGTAGTGGATGTCAAAGTCTTAAACCAAGAGTATGGAATGCAATAAATGTTCAACAAATGTTTCTTTTAGTTTACTGTTCATTAACTCAGTCTTTATTTTGTAAAGTGAATTATATCTGATATTCTTCCTAGTCCAGTGGAACTAATACTCCAATTATTGTAAGGACTGAATGATGGGAAAGAAAAAACTAAAATGAGCTAGGCCTTATTACTCTGTTAGAGAACACTCAATTTTTATCTCACTTATTAGAGACTATATTGTAACTGGTACAAACACCTAACTGAATCTCTTGTCATTTCTCTCCTTTTTTTAGAAGCTAGATTATATCACATACCTGTCCATCTTCGATCAGTTATTTGACATTCCTAAAGAAAGGAAGAATGCAGAGTATAAAAGGTAGGCATTAATAGCTTCTCGGACTCTACTGGATTTGATTAGAAGATAATGTGATGGTTTGAGGATGAAGTTCTGAATTTTGTTCCCTGAAAGGCGCATACATCAGTGACTTCCAGGTTTATTGGAGGATAGGGGTCATGAATGATGTGGTTTTTCTCCTCAAATACTGAGATTGAGCAAATAAATAAATAAATAGAATGATGTGGTTGTAAACCATTTGTGGCCAGGCATGGCTCAAACCTGTAATCCCAGCACTTTGGGAGCCTGAGGCAGAAGGATCACTTAAGGTCAGGAGTTTAAGACCAGCCTAGGCAACATAGCAAGACCAGTCTGTACAAAAAATTAAAAAAAAAAAAATTAGCTAGGCATGGTGGCATGTACTTCTTTTTCTTTTTTTCTCTTTTTTTAAAGCCAGTCAGATTTAGCAGTGGGAGGTTAAATGGTGGCATGTACTTGTAATCCTAACTACTTGAGAGGCTGAGGCAGGAGAATTGCTTTAGCCCAGGAGTTTGAGGCTACAGTGAGTTATGATTGTCCCACTGCACTCCAACCTGGGTGACAGAGTAAGACCCTGTCTCTTAAAAAAAATTGTAATAGTCTGGCTTTGGACAAGCAGGTGTCTGTTGGTATATTTTCAATCTTATGCCTATACTCTTCTTAATTTTGTCTTATTGTAGAAGGAAATCTCCTATTCAGGGATCTATGTGGCTTTGGAGTTTAATGATCTTATACCCCTAACTTCCTCTCTTTTTCTCATTTTCTTTTTACCTGAAATCTTTTATGTATGAGTTAATTAAGACCTTAGCATTTGGCATTATGTCATGAGGATGAAAGGATTTAGGAAAGGTCAGAATCAAAATAACATGTTGGGAAAAAATTCATTTTAAATTCATTTAAAAATACTATTTTAAAACTAGTGCTAACTAAAATTACAAGTATTTATATTCTATAGGGCATAACATTATATCAAAAACAGAAACCCTTTTTACTTTATCTATGTTGCATGTTCCTCTGTAGATACCTAGAGATGCTGCTTGAGTACCTTCAGGATTACACAGATAGAGTGAAGCCCCTCCAAGATCAGAATGAACTTTTTGGGAAGATTCAGACTGAGTTTGAGAAGAAGTGGGACAATGGTACCTTCCCTGGATGGCCGGTGAGCTTCATTGGGAGTGTGGGTAGAGGATATGCCAGGGAATTGAACTAATTATTTTACATTAATCTTGAGCCTACACTTTAGAGGTTTAGATATCAATCCCTCGGTATCATTTGGGGCCATGAAGTGTTCCCTGCCAAGTATGCTAGGTTTTCTTTGTGTACTTTGGAATGAGATTTATCAGGGCCCACTTGCCATTGACTGGCCCAGGATTTTCACTAACCACATCATGAGTGCTGTGTAGTTCCCTGACCAAAAACCTACTAGATTATGTGCTAGAAATCTATATATTTTCACTTCTGGAGATAATACTGAGTTTTTCCTCAACCTCAGGGAGAGAATGGGCCATCTGGGTTTTTTGGTGAGAGAGGGAGGTTTCAGTAGGTTTTTTGGATTTTTTGTTTGTTTTTTTGCTCCTATAGGAATTTGATCCATATTCATAAATGTGTATAAGAAAGGGGCCAACCAGCACCTGGCAATTTAGATAGCCCCTTTACCTTCATCCTATTCCTGGATCTTAATAAGCATCATATTATTTTTCTTGCCAGAAAGAGACAAGCAGTGCCCTGACTCATGCTGGAGCCCATCTTGACCTCTCTGCATTCTCCTCCTGGGAGGTATGTTTTCCTCAGCAATGGTATTGGTCTCCATGTCCATCTTTCAGAGAAACCACTCAACATTCCTGTCTTTAATACCATGGTTGTGTTATATAAGAGACCATTTCCTGGGACCAAGCATCTGCAAGGAAAGCGGAAAGATAAAAAGAATAACTACTTTGAAAACAGCCAAATAATAATACAGCTACATTAAGTTGTAGTAGAGGTAATAAATAGAATGTTACCAGTGTAGTTAAATCTGAACATGACCACAGAGTCAGTCCTTTGGAGAGTTTGGACTTAATGCTAGGAGACTGGCTATAGAATGTGTGGTCCTACCACAGCATCAGGAATGGCCTTCACTTGCTATTTCCCCAAATCTATTTATATAATGTTGTAATTTGTCCTTTTTTATACAGGAGTTGGCCTCCCTGGGTCTGGACAGATTGAAATCTGCACTCTTAGCTTTAGGCCTGAAATGTGGCGGGTAAGAGAATGGTTTTTCCACCAAAATGGTCTTACATACTATCCATTTGTGCAGTCTTCTAAGTGGCTCTGATTACATTTTTTTCTGTCACCCCACTCTGCAAAAATAAGCGAGCCCATGTGGTAAAGTGACCCTAGAATCCTTTTCCCCTCCTATCTCCTTAGGACTCTCGAAGAGCGAGCCCAGAGACTATTCAGCACCAAAGGAAAGTCCCTGGAGTCACTTGACACTTCTCTGTTCGCCAAAAATCCCAAATCAAAGGGCACCAAGCGGTGAGTGTCTGGAGTGGCACCTTTGCTCACAGTTTTAAATTTTATTTCCCTGCAGAATTTTTACTACAACAGATTTTAAAGCCTGTTTCATCCCCATTATTGGTTCATAGAGATCCAGTCTGCTCTTTTTTTTTTTTGAGACAGTGTCTCACTCTGTTGCCTAGGGTAGAGTGCCATGCCGTCAGCCTAGCTCATAGCAACCTTAAACTCCTGGGCTCAAGTGATCCTCCTGCCTCAGCCTCCCAAGTAGCTGGGACTACAGGCATGTGCCACCATACCCGGCTAATTTTTTCTGTATATATTTTTAGTTGTCCAATTAATTTCTTTGTTTTTTTTTTTCTTCTTTTGAGACAGAATCTCACTTTGTTGCCCAGGCTAGAGTGAGTGCCATGGCATCAGCCTAGCTCACAGCAACCTCAATCTCCTGGAGTGTCCGGGGTTGAACCAGGAAGAAAAATACCAACCCAGGCTGGCGTGGTGGCTCATGCCTGTAATCCTAGCACTCTGGAGCCGAGCGGGCGGATTGCTCGAGTCAGGAGTTCAAACCGCCTGAGCAAGTGAGACCCTGTCTCTACTAAAAATAGAAATTAATTGGCCAATAAAAATATATAGAAAAAATTACTGGCATGGGGCACATGCCTGTAGTCCAGCTACTTGGGAGGCTGAGCAGAAGGATTGCTTGAGCCCAGTTTGAGGTTGCTGTGAGCTAGGCTGATGCCATGGCACTCTAGCCTGGAACAGAGTGAGCTGTCAGAAAGAAGAAAGAAAGAAAGAAGAAAAGAAGAAAAAGAAGAAAAGAGAAGGAAAAGAAAGACCACCCGGAGTAAAGTGCCATAGGGGTGGGTGGTGAACCTTACTGTCATGGAAATAACTAGGGAATAGTTAAGTGTGAGGCAGATGGCTGTTCCAGAGTTGGGATTTTTAAAGTAATATATTAAAACAAGAAAACTGAAAGGAGGTCTGAGTACTGAGGGGCAAAAGGGCCTCTGCAGAATCTGTCTGGAGGCCCTGGCCTTCAGATGATTGTGCTATGGGCGATATAGGGCTCCTTGGCTTCCCCAGTTCTCCCCATTTGGGGCTGGAAACACATGATTAGCCACTTCTAGTCAAAGTAGGGATCTTGTAGAAGAAATGGCCGACAGCTCACAAAGACTCATTCTGAAATAGAGTGTGTGGAGTCTCTGCTGTCATTTCCAGCAGTAAGTTTCACCACCCTCACTCCTATGGCACTTACTCTGAGTTGGTATTTTTTTTTTTTGACAGAGTCTCACTCTGTTGCCCAGCTAGAGTGCTGGGATAGCCTAGCTCACAGCACCTCAACTTGTGGTCAGTGATTCTTCTGCCTCAGCCTCCCGAAAGCTGGACTACAGGCATGTGGCTGATACAGGTCCTAGTGCACTGAGTGCTGGGCAGCTGAGGCACAGAAAGGGCAAGCTGCAGGTCCTTCCCAAACAGCCAACTCCTTTTTTATGCCAACAGAAAGGCAAACCTGGTGCCATACTTAGCCCTTAGGAGGAGCCCTGGCCCACCTCCATATCTTTCCCTAGTGTGTGCATCAATGGCGACTCAACTAAGGCAGGGCTCATCCTGGGTGATGCTTATTTGGGATGTGGCTGTTGTGAGACAGGGAAAGAGGTCAGTCAGATCTACTAACTTAACTTACAGCATAACAGGTGTTCATTATCTAGCTGCTCCAAAGTTGTGAGAAGACCACGGAGCATTAAGACCTGAAGGATTGAGTTGTCCATAACCCTGGGCTTAGACAAGACACATTCAAAACAAGGGATGGTTTTATCCGCAGAACTTTTTTAATATAAAACAAAGATAAAACATTTCAACCTGCTTTTTGTCAGCATGCCTGTTCTACAAGATGCATGCTGCTAGACCATAGATACATAGTAAAGGGTCTCTGAGCATTTGGTGAAGGAAATAGAAAATGCAGATCTCAGGGGAGCCTGGCCAAGCCAAAAGATGAGCTACATCCCTGAACACAGAGCAGTCCTTGTCTTTTCAGATCGCTCATACTCTTCTTATTCACAACATTCCCACCTGGAGTCTTCATATTCTTCCTAAAAAGGAAGCGGTATACTTTGTTAGCTAACCCCCTAGGAGGAATGCTTGAACCAATCTCTGGTACCTGAGCTCACCCTGGCCTGTTCCAGTGGCACACCCAGAGATTCCATTGGTACTCCGATGTGGCCATTTATCTAACGACAGCCTCCCACGAGGTTCACCAGAGAGCCTGGCCCCTAAGGCAAGCACTGTGTGCTATATGGAATTCTCTGTCTAACATCTAGAATCGTACCATTCATGACCTATCCTTAGAGTACTGAGGAAATTGTTCAAATTACTTTCTGTCGTTTAAGATGTAGGAACCCTAGTTGAGAGCCTAGAAGCAGTTTCAAGTGGTTTCGAAAATCTAGGTCTGCAGGAGTTAAAGGAAAGGCCGAGCTCCTATTCCAGAGCAGTTTTTCTTTATGTATTTATATATCAGAGTTCTGTATACGGCGGATAAAGGTTGTGCTTGACAAAAAAAAAAATGCATCGTATCTAATCTATTAAAACGCACTAACCTAAAGAAAGGTAGCTACTGCCAGTCACTGTGGGACATGGTGGAGTTGCTTACTAAACTTACATACATGTCATTCCTCATCTCTGAAACCTGCTGTTTGACATGACTATTAGCACAACAAGAGATCCCTTATGTGAGGGACATCCGTTCTTGATGCTTCCAAAAGGGATGTGATATAAATAAGGATTCTCAAGCTTTTAGTCTTAAATCCCCATGGCAGGACAAGAGATTGGCTACTCCCGCTGTCACTTCACATTCATGGAGAATACAACCTGCCTTGAGACCACAGATTAAACGTCTAACAGGTGCTCACTCAGCAGCACTCTATAAAATAACGGGATAAGGAGAAAGCATCCGGCCCCTAATGATGATGACACACAAATTTACAAAGCATACCATACTTTAATAAATTAATAGTGTGAAATATCACATAATAAATTAGCTTACCATATCAACGGTCATTTTATAGATTGTCACATTAGCTACTCGCTACTCAGTTACGCAGGACCATTCTGTGGAGAGAGCTGTCACTGACATCTCCAACACTGTCCACATCAGCACGCACCTCGGAGTCGGGCTGCCATCGCTCTGACAAGCCTCTGCAGTTCAGCTTGGCACACTGGCAAGACAAGAATCAGCAGCATACAGTATGACCCAGCATTCCAGCCCCGTGAGTCCCCCAGGATGACTCTGCTTTGAGTTCTGCTTGCCCAAATGAATTTGGTCTCTAGCCACCTAAAACAATACTATCTAGTGCAAATATTTTAAGAATTTCTGTGGGAAAAGGGAAATTCATGCCAAAGAGTCTGAAAAATAAGACTGTCAATAAGATCGGAGATATAAACTTAAAATTCTTATAATTCGAATAAAATTATCCATGAAGATGAAAAGGTGAAGCATCTGTAAAAACCACCATAGCTTTTAGAGAGGATCAACATACAAAGAAAAAAACAGATCACAAAACCAGGGAATAGAATGACTGAATCTTTAAGAATGGGTTAGAAGTAAACTCTTAGAAAAAGATGCTGCATGGATACTAAGACAAAAAGGGTCCTGGCCTGTTAGAGGGGAGAGACTAAAATATCAACATGACGCAACAGGCGAAACTCTTGGTTCCTATGTTTCTACCTTCCCACAAGTTAAAACGAATCCTAATTTTGTAGATAGAAGAAATCATCATAAAGTGAACACTACACATGGTAAATGATGTAAATCGAGACATATATGAGAAAATGCTTTGCATCTATATAACCTGGATATAGGTGGCTCCACTGAAGCCCACTCTCTTTTCTTATATCAGCATTAACATATTAAAATCAATTAAAAAAAAACATACATACAACCATTCACTCAATCTTGCTGGGGAGTTCACAACCCAGGTTTAAACCCTGTTACACTCAGCATAGGCTCTCTCAGGGAAAACAATTAGCTGCTAACTAATTCCCTTAAAAATGCAATAATTAGATGACTGTCAGCTTTACATATCCAAGACTGCTCTTGGGCCTGGAACACACAGGGTATGGGACACTGAGCTGAGGAGTGGCTTACTTGTCTAGCCCAGGAAATAAGTAAATAAAGCTTACTTACAGAGACAGCATCTCAATCTGTGTCACATTAGTCAAAGTGGGCAGTGTTTGGGGATGCCCAAACACTCATGCCGTGAGCATGACCCATTCTGGAAGGAGAGAGAAGCAAAGGACCATGTGAAATGGGAAACCTGAACACAAAACTAAACACATCATCTAACTACAGGACAGCATTCCTTTTGTGTTACGTAAATAGCTGGCTGTGATTGAAAAAGGCTAGTATTTCAAAGCAGCCAATGCATTTGGCCTCACTGGGCTGGGTTAAAACCTAGATTCTAGATCTAGTGCTACGGAACAATCTGTCATGCCACAGAAAAACCAACTCTAACCAGTCACCTCCATAATTAATGGGAGAACTGATATAGCCCCACAACTCTGACACCAGCATGAATACAGTTCTGATGGCAGGTCCAGCATCACCTTTGTAATAAAGGAGATTGGTTATCAGAATAAGGATGTGACAGGGGAGGAGAGATACTGATTCATGACAGTTGGCGAGGATGATAAATGGTATGAGTTTATCCTGGATGCCTCACCAATCATTGGACGTAGTGTTGAGCAGAGATTCCAGAGATCACTCAGGAAGCTCAGCAAAAAAGACCCAGGATTAACTAGTAATATGTATGCTCTAAGAGGAGGGAGAAAGACAGATTCACATAGATCCATCATCCTTTGGTAAGTTTTTCCCCATTCTGTAAAATTTCTCCAAGTAATTGAGAAATTGAAGCAGAAACAAAGAAGGTGACCTACCTATTGAGTACCACCCAGATGATGCTTTTCCTCCAAGAATAAGCTTGCAAAGACGGTCCAGTTAGTTTCTTTTTTTCAAAGAGGTAAAAGCATATCAAGACCCAAAGGAGGTAACTTCAGCCTCCTTTTTGGTCCTGACTACTAGCAATGGGAGGAGAAATGACAAGGAATCAGACGATCTAGGCTAAGATGTTGGAAGAAAAGACAAAGAACATAGCCCAGGGGCCAGCATGGGTGGCTCACACCCATTAATCTAGCACTCAGGAGGCTGAGGTTGGGAGGACTGTTCAAGGTCAGCGAAGTTCGACCAGCCTGGCAAGAGTGGGACCCCATCTCTACTCAAAAATAGAAAGTATTGGCCAACTAAAAAATATAGAAGAAAAAATTAGCCGCATGGTGGCACATGCCTGTATCCCAGCATTTTTTTTTTTTGGAGTGACGCAGAAGGATCGCTTGATCCAAGAAGTTTGAGGTTGCTGAGCTAGGCTGATGCCATGGCACCTAGCTCCAGGCAAGAATGAGACCTCGTCCAAAAAAGAGTAGCAGGAGAAAAACAAATAAGTTAAAATAGCAGGGTTGGTAGAAGCCCTCCAGAAATTCTCAGGTACTCTAGCAGGACTGGTGCCAAAGCGCCAAATGCTATGAATGCTGCTTTTAGACCATCCATTCTCTGATTCCCTTCACTCTGGATACGTAGTTGGTCTCTCAGGTTGCCCTATCTTGTTCTCTAAAATCTCATGCTCCTTACTTCAATCCCTCAGGAAAATGGTTCTGAATTCCTTACAGCAAATGCCGTTGGACAGGCTTGCCCTCCGGTAAAGGTGTAATTTGCACAGATTTCACAGTTGTAGTGAGTTAGAGCCATGAAGCTTATCAGCAGTAGGGAATGGGCTAAAGAAAATAAAAGTAAGAAACAGCATTAGTCTGACAAGGTCTGCACCTGCTTCCAATATGGGAATGGGGAGTGCTGGGACTCTACTTGCCATCCCACGCCAAGGGCAGGTTTTTGGGTTTAAATGATTATTCTCTTTCATCTCCTTTCACTCTCCACTGATCTGCTCTCCTCCTCCTCTTCTCGTCTTCTCCTGTCCTTGCTTGCGTTTCGTTGTAATTTTCATGTGTAAGAGTGCTGTTCCTAGGCAGATTGGTAAATGAAAAGTCAAGAGAAAAGTAAGTGCAGAATGAAGAAGGGAAATTTCCTATTTTCCTAGACATTTGCTGACCCTTCACTTCCAAGGATAAGGCTTTTTCTGTAGAATGAATGGAAAGTCTTTCCTTCACAACCAGAAATCTTATTAAGCAGGCCCTACCTGGTCCTGAAGGAAAAAGTCAAATGTACTTTACATCCTTGCCTAATTACTCACTGGAGGCCGGCAGACTATCAGAAACAACAGAGAAGCAAGTCTCATCTATCTTGTCTATAAGATATCTCCTGAACCAGTTCCTTTTCTTCTCCGATGTTACTGCCCCACAGCGTGACCACCTTCTAACTTACCCGTAGTCTCTCCCATACTTCCAGTTCAGTTCCACTTGCTGTCAAATTTATGCTGTTAAAAAACCAATCCTACATGCACACTCTCCTGGCTTAAGAATCTCCTTTATCTGCGCTTCTACTGTTAAGGACAAAGTCCAAATCCAGACATCAAACTCTCACAATTTTCTCTGAACACTCCCTTCCACAGGAACACTCTACGATCACACTCTAAATGCACTGATTTCTCATTATT